AAAATTTTCCGCTATACGGTATACTAAATATGGTAATCGCATCACATGGTCACTAGTGACTAGAGAACGAGACACCAAAGGTGCGTGGCCTCGCCCCTAAAGCTGCTTGGGATGTGTTATGCTTAGCTAGCCTAAGCCAGTACATTTAAATGATATAGATCAAAAGTGCTGACAGCCTGGACTAAGCAAGTGTGAAAAGTATGATGGGACTCTAGAATCCCAAAAATTGGTAAAACGTGTTCATAAATTCCCATTAGCATCTCAAGATTTATCACTTATTTATACAGTATATTTATACTTATTGCACTCTCATTTTAAAAACATCATGGGTTTCATAACCACAGCTATTGTTGTGGCCACAATCTATCAAAAACATGCTATGCAAAAAAATTAGAAATTGTGCTTTTGAGGCCAAGGGATTATCATAACAGCTAGCTTCCTAGCTGCAGTTACACTAGCTCTTGCATGCTTGCAGAACTGGCAAGCTGCAGGGCCAACTCCCAGCTTGGTCCTGCTTGGAGGCGTGGCATTAATGCAGCAAGACCATGTGAGAGGGAAGCTTCACGTTTTTTTCTCTTCTTCTAAGTGCTATATGATGTTATAATGGCACAAATACTGTTGCCTAGATAGATTGAGTGACTTAAGAGAGTTTAGGATCCTTAGACTAGCCATGGACTAGTGAACTACTGCTACAGCACTTTACTCGGGATGAAATTCGAGTAGCTATAACTCACCAAAAAGGAAGATTTAAAGAGTCCCACACATATTAAATAAATAAATAGTCTTGATCTACTGGGAAAGAGTCTCATTTACATCCAGAGTACTACCGCTATTGCTGGGCATTTTCTCGTGAGTTAAAAAGCTTGTACTACCTAGAGCTGTTCTCGAAACATCTCGAAGCAGTAAAGCAAGACTTTTCCTAACAGAAGAGAAGCTCTCACAGGTTTAGAGCACGCGATTGTAAAGATATACATTCTCAAAGACAAAATCTAGCACACAGAATGAATGAATGACAGACAGACAGACCGAGTACCTAGTCCTCGCCTACGCAAAGCTGGGCGAGGCCAATGAGTATACCTTGAGCACACATTAGATAAGGTCCATATGAACAACACATGCTATTTAAAATTACATTTACATAATGGCACTTATTATATTCTCTACCTTCCACTTACCATCATAATATCTTCTACCACACAGTATGCTGCCATCAGTAAGGTTCAACCACAGATTGTTAGTAAGGTCACATCTTTCACACTTCCAACCACTAAAAGCATGATGGCATCGTAACGAAAAACCACACCCATTGTATCTCACCTTATCGGGACTTTCTTGTCAGTTGGTAGTTGAATTAGTGTCTCGGCATGTCTAAAAATAAAGATACATAGTACAAAAATCCTTTAAATTGACTGCTAAACATTATTGAATCCATTACCGATCAAAATTGGATTTCTTACAGTTGCTCTAAAATTGGGCCAGAGTCCCTGTACTATAGTACATGGTCTCGGGCCAAAATTTTCCAAAATTGAAAATTCTCCATTTTTACAATTTTTTCTGATGCATATACATAGAAAGTTTGAACTGATTCCAATCAAAATTAGATTTTTTATGAATTTTTAAAGCTGCTCCAAAATCCAGCCAAAGTCCCTGTCCTGGGTATTCCATCAAAAATCTCAATTAATTGGCTTATGAAAAAATTTTAGCAAACAACATTAAGAATTGCTATAAATCACCTTGATACTATCATGGGTTCTTCCCAAGCTGCTATCTGATCCTGTTTACTTGCTGACTCAGCAGCTAATACACCACTAACACTCTCCTGAACCTAAGTGTGTGGGTGTGGTCATTAAACCCCACCCACAAATAAACATCGCTGGATACCTTTGGAGGAACAATTAGATCAGGACAAGGCCATGGGATTGGCTTTGAATTAACGAGTAATTTATACTCCTCTTCATACTCAACCTAAAATAATAATAATTAAAAATAATAATAATAAAAAATAATAATAATGATAAACAACAACAATAATAATAATGAATATAAAGACCTTTTCAATTCCTCCAGTAAATCCTCCTTCAACTCCAATAGCTAAACGAGTCGGTTTCTTCTCTGGTGGAGGATCGTCTGTTGCCTAAAAAGTGGGAGGGGCAGATCAGGACTAGCCACACCCACACTCACTTGCTCCTCCTCAACAGGTTTTGGCTTCGGTCGTCTCTTAATGTTCAAGTAAACATTCTCTCCAGTTTTACGAGAGTGAAGATCCAACCAGTCCTTACCAACTCCATAAAAGGAATGCAAACTGACGTACAAACCATCCTCACTCTCCTAATAAAAACCACGCCCACAAAGTAGCCACACCCCGTTAATATTTTTCTTAGCTTACTGGTGTATCAAAAGAATAGATGCATTCTTCTTTATAGACTTTGTCGTTTGCTCTAGGGATCCTTACATCTATTCCTTCCATCACAGAGGAGATGAGAAAATGATCGAAAATGACAAAATGAGATAAAGTCCTAAAATTTTGCCCACGTGTGGTGCTAATTTTAATTATTATTGGGTGCGGCTAAAAGTGAATTAATAAGTTGCGTGGGTGTTCTAGTTGTAGGCGTGGTATAGGTGGAGCTACAAATAAACATTTATCCACGTCAGCCATGAAAAGATCCACTTATCTTGTGAATGGTAAGTCATTTCTCGTTATACTTTACTTAATTTTCTGTAGGTCAAGTGGCTAGCAGTAAGCCATGGAGTCTGGAGAAGCTGAGTGAACTGTTTTGGGCATTCATTAACTTCATTACTTTATTGTAAACCATTATTATTATTATTGTTATTGTTATTATAGTTAGTTATTCGGAGCATTTATAATTAGTTGGTATGAGTTGAAATACTTGTATGTAATATTATAGTGCCTATATATCTACAGTCTGAGGTAGAGGCTTCTATGATTGAAATTATTGTACATCGTATGTCATTTTAGTTTAATTCTTTCTGTTATATTTTCATTTCTCTTTAGCTTCCGGACCTTGTTTGATCCAACCTTATCCAAGAAAGGCCCCGGCTATTCGACAGACTATCGCCGCAGCGGCCAGCGTCCTGACACTGGTAAAAGGATCGGACGTATTGGAGGAATAGGAGGATCAAGTGAGTTTATAAATAATATAATTAATAAAAATATTATTAATTATAGTGTAAAGCCCCACCCATTGCCTATTTGTAGTTATTGTATGGTAATGGCTGTTATTTTTTTGAATAAAGACTAATAGTAATGATGAGAATGATAATGTTTTAGTGTTGCTTTTTCCGCTTTTCCTAAATAATTACCAGACGCTTTAGTTTATCGATAGATGTTGTAGTTGTTATAAAAACTGTGTGCGTGTGTGTGTTTATGTTGGCAGACACTTTCTCAAAATAGTAAGAAGAGAGAGAGAGAGTTACATTTATTTGTAATAGTATTATTTTTATTTTATTCTTTTCAATAGAACCTCCAGGCTCTCCACCAATGGGTGGTGGATGAGGGTAAGTCTAATATTTTATGCAGCCAAAAAATAAATTGAAATAAATCTTTTTTACAGTTAAAGTACCTCCACAGGCTTTGTGGGGGTGGGGTGACTCCACCCATTTCACTATAAGCTAAGTGGAGATATATAACTGGGAGAAGGCGGACAATGACTTTTTCCTTTCTTTCTTGATTTTGTGACGCCATGTTAGGAAAATGGCTACAGTCTAGCATGGCTGATGATACAAGAATGAAAGTGAAATCTATTGTTATTATAGATAATGCCATTATAAATTTATATTATTCTCATTGTGTCATTATAATATATAATTAATTTTAGCCAGTCTGCATTTTAAAAAGTGATGTTTGAAGCAGTATAATTATGTAGATAATTGTCATAATTTTCATTAAACATTTAAAAAGTATAATTGTGATAAACTTAATTATCAAGGGCAGGGCTTTTGTTGAGAATACACAGTATTGATACCCTCAACTTCACCCTTTCAAAAATTTTTTCTCTACCAAGTGAGCTAATACAATAAAAGCATGGAAGCATGTCCCGTGTTTTAAAAGATACTTTTCGTTCAGTCTATAGTGGGTTGCATTCGATCTACACTACAGGAAGTACATACAGTCCACGTGAGAGGAGGAGTGGCATAAGTCGCACAACCAGCAGCGCAGAAGTAGTACAGTAGTTTTACTTCTCCCTTTCTCGTCTCCTCCACGCTTTGGTTAGTTTATCAGAGTAGCTTCCCTTCATTGGAATACAAGAACTACCAATAATGTCTTCCAGGCGCTGGTTCCACATGAATCTCTCAGGGATGGATGCCGAGGCTCTCCTCCTTAGCAAAGGAGAAGACGGCTCCTTTCTTGTCCGTCCCTCTCAAAATGTACAGGGAGACTTTGCCCTCTCAGTCCGCCGAACAAAGGACGTCACTCACATTAGGATACAGAACTCTGGGGACTACTACGATCTTTATGGCGGAGAGACCTTTGCTACACTCTCTGAGCTCATCCAATATTACACAGAGAACCCGGGCCAGCTCAAAGAGAGGAATGGAGCAGTCATTGATCTCAGATATCCTCTCATATGTGAAGAGATAACCTCTGAAAGGTATGGTGGCTTAGACTTTATGTTGTCTTCTTTTTTGCATACCAATGGAGTTTTTACACCTTTTATTGTTGTATTCATGTGTCATAGTGTGGTTTTTGTGGGCCTATAGAACCTTTTCTCGAGCACTTTATGTCTTTTAATAAACACGTATATCCTTATGACCTAGTTTGGGTGAAACCTATCTCCTTTAATTTAAAATCTCTCCCATAGCTTGTACCAACTGTGTACTCTTCTCCTTATAATAGTTGATAAAGGAACAAATATTAGCTAGGGATGTGTTACATGATAGTACATTTAAGCATCATGGTGTAGCACCTCGCAGACTAAATTTAATTACTGTCTGTCGCCAAGCTTGTTTTTGAATTTTATGGTTCAATTCTGCTGGTCACACACCAGACATTTTATGCAATTTTATAACTCCTTCGTGTTTTAGTCCACACAAACGTTTATAATGATAACCATCCTAAATGTTTTTGCAAATGGTGAATATATGTCCATGCATATTATATTATTAAAAGTCAAAACAGGATTCTGTCAATAAGCATAACAGAGTAAAGGCGGATTTACAATATTACGCTAGTCCTGACGTTACGTTGACGCTGGAATAGAATCTGGTTCTATTCCAGCGGAAAGCATGCGTCAAAAGGTCAAATCGCCCACGTTTTTGATTAAAAATTGACGGTACGCTGGCCTAATGTCATATTGTAAATCCGCCTTAATGTACCATGATATAGACAGATGCTAGTAGCCCATATCACACTTGAGTATCATTGAGACACATACTTATGCATTCATGCCTTGTTGAGTGTGTTTGATATGACTGTTTGATCTGTTACCATTCCTTAAATTTCCTACTCTCTCTCTCCGTTACTATTCCTTCTCTTCCTCCCCCTCTTTCTCTCTCCCTCCATTAATATATTTATATTTCCAATTTTAAGCTTATTAGTCTACGTTAGTGCCAAAGCTACTTTCATTGGCACAACAGTATGCTTCCAGGAAAGCACATGTTTTTTTATTGCAGTGATGTCTCACTTTGACATTAGCAGCAGTAGACTATGTTTTTCAAGTGCATGTGTTTATAGTGTGCTCCATCCAGTTGTGTACAGTATTTGTTCCAATTGGATTAAGCTATTTAAACTGAAAGAGCTTAATCATCATCATCATCATCATTATTATGACTAAATGGAGAGGCTAATATCATTAAAATATAATAATATTATGAAGAGAGAGAGGGAGTGGGAGATGACTAAGGAAAGCAGAGATACAAATCTCTCATAACATCAGTCATAGCCATTGATGGTTACAGATCAGTATCTTAATTTGTTTACCCATCATTGTATTGAGTTACCATAATAGTTAACTCCTTTGACCTAATACAGTATGTATAGATCACTTATGTACACCATTCACATCCTCACTGATGTAATGTCTCTTTGATAATGTAACTCAATACATTGTAACTGATTATTATTATATTAATTTTATCACAGGTGGTACCATGGCGGTATAACCGGTAAACAGGCGGAGACCCTCCTAATGGACAAGGGACTAGACGGCAGTTTCCTGGTCCGAGCCTCCACCCATAGTCCCGGGAATTATGTTCTTTCTGCTCGGGTGGATGGTGAGGTTGCTCACGTTATCATAAAGACACAAGGAGGAGAATTTAACGTGGGTGGGAGTCCTTCTTTTAAAACTCTCAACGAACTCATCTCTCATTATAAAACCCATTCAATGATTGAGACTAGTGGTCGGGTCATTTCCCTCAAGAATCCTTTCAACGCGACGTCTTTCATGGCCAAGAGTATCAAGGACAGGGTCTCCGAACTTGAGAAAGAAACCGGAGACATTATGGGCAAAGCTGGATTCTGGGAGGAGTTTGAGGTAGCTCATTAATATGCGTGCGTGCATGCGTGTGTGCATACACGATCACTCCATTGTTTTGTTGAGCACTGTCAAATCTGTGAGTGTGTCATTAGTAAAGACACAGGTGGTGTAGGTAAACTACAGCTTCTTCTATTAGCTGTTGGAAAAGCTCTACTGCATTTCACTTCATGTCAGCAGTGATAATGATGGAGTGTAGAGAGAGAAAGAGAGTATAATTATTGTGTAATTCATGAAATTAAGGAATGTCTCCTTATTTGTCCATTGTGAATTCTGTGGTCTAATTGTCCCGTGTGACAAGCATTTACTGTCACATGGTATGATTCTTGTTCTCTTTATGTCTACAAGAATGGACACACTCTACTGATGATAATAATGATACTGTCTCAACAATCATAACTTAAACACTAAATATTATGATATTACACGCGTGTATTTAGCCTTGCTTATTATTATTATTATTATTATTATTATTATTATTTCTATTTTAGCAATTGCAGCAGCAAGAATGCCGCCATCTCTTCAGTCGTAAAGAAGGAGCGAGAGTTGAGAATAAAACAAAGAACAGATACAAGAACATACTCCCATGTGAGATCCAATGTTACTGTACATGCACTAAACACAGATACATAATGTCTACATATCTCTCTCTCTCTCTCTCTCTCTCTCCATGCTTGTATCACTATATTTGCTTGTAGTGTCAATCTAATCTGTTTCAGTTGCCTTATATTAGTCTAAATAACCTTAAGTGGTTCCTAAAATAATCCATAGATGCTTACACATAAAAGTGTATACAAACCTTCAACTATTCCTCCTCCACAAACTAACCTCACTATGATTGATTTGCACTTTCTTTTCTCTGAATAGTTGATCACACTAGAGTGGTTCTTCATGGAGGTGACCCCTCTATTGTTGGCAGTGATTATATTAACGCTAACTACATCAGTGGAGAGGTACCCGGTAGTGAGAAGCACTACATTGCAACTCAAGGCTGTCTTCCGACTACCATTAACGATTTCTGGAAGATGATCTGGCAGGAGAGCTCTCAGATCATCGTTATGACAACCAATGAAGTCGAGCGTGGGAGGGTAGGTTGACAAATCGTTTTTAGATCATTTGATATTTGTTTTTATTCTTTTTCTGCTTGTTTTTTAATACATATCTCACTACTTACGCCCCTCTCTCTCTCTCCCTCCCTCTCTCTCTCCCCTCACTCTCTCTCTCTCTCTCCCTCCCTCTCTCTTTCTCTAGAATAAGTGTGCCAGGTATTGGCCTGGTATCAATGAAACTGGTGAATATGGTGACATATCAGTCCAGAATGCAACAGAGTGCATCAACCCTCATTACATTTATAGAGAGTTTATTATTCATCGTATTGAAGATGTAAGTACATATACAATGTACATGTATGAATAAAGGTGTGCAATGTCTACATGTATGCATTGGAATCACTGCACTACATTTATGAAGAAATAATGCTAAAACTAATTTTGGGACAGCACTAGTTTGTGTTATTTTTATTGTTGTGAGCAGCATAAGTAAGCATTGTGTTATTTATTATTAGTAAGTGTCAAGTTTTCTTTTGTTGCTTGAGAATGATATTATAACAGGGTGTAGTAGCTAGTGTAGCTATTGTTTTTCTTTCTGTAATGTGCAGAATATGTATACTCTCTTTCTTTCCTCTCTCTCTCTTTCCTTTAGCCGTCAAATCAAAGAGAAGTCTTTCACTATCATTTCAAGGCCTGGCCTGATCACGGAGTGCCCCAAGATCCAGGTACTGTCCTTAGTTTCTTGCAAGACATCAACTCCAAACAAGATGAACTGGTTACAACTGGTAATGAGCCTGGCCCACTCATAGTCCACTGCTCTGCCGGGATAGGAAGGACCGGGACTTTCATTGTAATTGATATATTGCTTAACGTCATGATGCAGCAAGGTAGGTGTGGTTTTATGGGTGTGGTTATACAGTACGTCGTGTTGTTGCAGGTTTTGAAGCTGATGTTGATATCCAAAGGGCCATACAGTTAGTTCGTGCTCAGCGATCTGGTATGGTTCAAACTGAGGTGAGGCTCAAATTTTCTCTATCAAAGATAAAATGTAATAATTATAATCTTTTGTCTTACAGCAACAGTACAAGTTTGTGTACAGATCAATATTGTATCACATTGAAACACAGAGACAACTGTCAGAGGTATAATAATTATGATCAATAAAAACTTACCCACTCAATTTCATCTTGATTTTACTTCTCTCTGTTTTTCTTTCTCTCTTCTCTGTTTTTCTTTCTCTCTTTTCTTGTTCTTTCTTCTCTCTATCTCTCCTCTCTCATCAGTCCAATAATGGAGTAACTGATCATGTGTATGGTAACATACCAGCAAGCTTAGCGGTAAGTCCACACCCACTCTATGACATCATAATCATGATATTATTAGGGCGGAGCCAAGTGATCCTTCCACTGGTTTAGTTCACGACAATCACTTTTTGACATTTTTTATCACCAAAACACAGGATCATATTATTATTATTATTATTATTATTATCATTATTATTATTAACAGCAATTTTTTTCTTTTAGTCGTTGTCTAATGTGCCACTGTACTATAAATTAAATGCAAAACTTATTATTATTATTATTTTATTTTTAGCTATTTTAAAGATTTCATCACTATTACATGTGTAGGTATCTTAATAATTGTTTGTCAATTTTTGTTGATTGGATAAAATTTCCTCGTCATTATTTTTTAAACACTTAGTCAACTCCATTTTCTTAGTGAGAAGTCCCTTTAATATTCCGTCAAGTCATCATTAAAATAAAGATTAATTGGAGGGAGGAACTCCTCCTCGTCTAGTCTCAATACATACATATCTTCTCCTTCATCTTTGATCCCGTTCTCCTCCAGTGTCTTGCTCATGTCCAGGTTGTTACCGAAATATTTCCACGTATAACTGGAAGCGTGTGAGTTGTATACTTTATAGCGTTGAAGAATCTCGTTCATCGTCTCTTCAGCACAAACCTAATGCAAGAGTATTCAGTAATTATATCATACATGTATGTTCATTTATTCCAGTACTAGTAAAGTAGTAGTACTATGTAGTACAGGTTCCAGTAATATTAGTAGTAGAGTGGTAGTATGAGGGGATTACTTTACAGCTGTTGAAATGCCATTGATTCCTTTTATGTACTGATGTGTACTGGCTCACTGATCAAGCAATGAGCCACAAAGAATTACAAGGAAGTTATTTAATGGACGATAATTGGATGACATTTTTCAACAATAACATCATTATGACCATATAAAAACAGATAAATGTAGACTTTCTTCAATACATGAAAAGTTGCGCTAGTTTCAGTTATTGAAATAGAAAATGTTGTTGATTCAAGTAATGCTTCTCCAGTTAATCGTATAAATGGATTGTAAACACTAGCTCAGTTATTCATACACAGAAATAATGAGAGATTGTTTATACATTTAATAACGGAGTGTGTGTGTGTGCGTGTGTGTGTGTGTGTGTGTGTGTGTGGATAAATGGAGTAGGAGTAGTTGTGGGTGTGTGTGTGTGTTTTCTGAGTGAATAGAGTGTCCACTCAACTGTCATACAGTTTTGATAATTCTGTATTGATTATTTACTGATTGGGAATAGAATCTAGTCCCTGTTGATTGAATAAACCCTGCATCCTTGTGGAAAGTGTATAATAATGGGCTTATTGTAAAGTGAAAGTATAAGTTTATAATGAAGTCATGATTATGATCATGTCAAAATGTAATCCAATTACTATTGAATAGTGAATAGGCTTCTGATACAACACAAGTACATGTATATGCATCAGAAAATTTTTTTAAAATGGAAAAATCTCTCCTTTTAAATTTTTTGGCAAAATTTGACAAGCTAAATGCCAAATTCTGTGAAAAACCCTGCCCTCTCTCCTTTCCTTCTCCTCCCCTTACCTCTATCACTTGTTCTTGTAGTGTGAGTGTGTTTATTATTCGTATCTTCCTTGTTCTCCCTGAGAGTATCCCCACACAGTATCTGGTTTCTTTCCACCAGGGGGTACCAAACGTGTTGGACCAGTCTGAACGAGGGAAAGGAGGAGGGACGTGAAGGAACCTCCCCATAGGCGTGAACGGAACTATGCAACCAGTTACTGGATGCACGTGAGTTTTCACCTATTAAAATATGAGGAATTTTGATAAATTTGTGAATTTTTGGTGATTGGTTTGTTTTTTCTTACGTCTTTTGTTTTTGGATCAAACCAATGAGAAATGTCCTTGCCTGCATTAGCCAGTATTGGTTTGAGAAGCACATTACCTGGAGAGATAAAGAAGGTATTATTGTATTGCCAGGATCTCAACTACTAAGCTGACTAGTACCTGAATTATTCTGGCAGAGCTCTGTCAGGTCGTATACCTTCCCAAGGAAGGAGACCCAACAGTCTGAGTGAGTGTTATGAGCCGCTACCTCCCCAGGAGTGAAATACTTATTGCCTCTGGTCACCATTTTGTTTTTAGTCTGGTTCCCATAGTAACACACCACGCCCATTATTTGACCACGCCCCTTGCTCTTCCTAATAATAAAATGGAGGCTAGAGCTTTTCTTCAAAGTTTGCTCAATAAGAGGTTGAGGATCAGTATAAAGGATGGGAGAGTGATTGACGGCCATTTTATGTGCACTGATAACTCCTGTAATGTTGTCCTAAGTAACTGTGAGGAATTTCTCACACAGGAAGACGTTGGTGAGGCCTTATTCTCTGTTTTATTAAAATTAATAATGATATTAATTTTAAAAATAATAGAATGAACTGTTTATGCTAGACAGTGGAAATTATTAGCTGGGAATTAAATTTGTGATTGATAAGACGTCAGGGTTTCCTACAAAGTATCCTAACTGAGCTAAACAGCATGACTACAGTTTGGCCTGATTTTGGAGCAACTTTAAAAGCCCATAAAAAATCCAAATTTGATTGGAATCAGCTCAAACTTTTACACAACATAAGAACAGGTATATATATCAGGGACTGTTATAAAAATTGAGAATTCTCTACTTTTCATTTTTGGTAAAATTTGGCTCGTGACCCTGTACTATAGTACAGGGACTTTTACCCGATTTTGGAGCAACTTTAAAAATTCGTAAAAAATCCAATTTTGATCGGAATCAGCTCAAACTTTCTACACAACATAAGAACATGTATATGTATCAAGGAATGTTATAAAAATTGGGAATTCTCTACTTTTCATTTTTGGCAAAATTTGGCCCGAGACCATGTACTATAGTACAGGGACTTTGGCCTGATTTTGAAGCAACTTAAAAATCAACTGAGGTAAGACTATGCAAAAATCCTTTAGGAAGCCCTGTGGTTGTACTTCTTGATAAATCAGAGATTTTTAGAAAGAATATTTAGATAATAATGGCTGCCTTGAGTAGAAACTTATTAAACCTCTTTGTTCACACTTTATTTTATTTTCTCATTATTTTTAGTTAAAGCTAAAAATCGTGACACTAGTGAGGCTGTGAACATCAGAACACTAGGACTGGCTATAGTCCCTGGGGATCAAATACTAACAATATCAGTCCAGGACACATTGTTATCCAATGAATTACTAGAACACATCAGCAGTAGTAATAATACCACTGCCAGTAGCAGTGAGACTAGTATCAGTTCATGATGTAAAAATATTCATGATTCTTTTTAAACTAAAATTATTTTGCACAAAATTAAGAATAAGTACAGAGCCAATTACAAAAATTGGTATATGGGTATTTGACTAAAGGCCTCATAATAAATTTTATTTCATTTTAGATCAAAAATGGCTCAAATTTTTACTTTCAAAGTAAATTTTTGTATTTATAGATCTAATACCACATAATAATAGGTAATAGGTAGGTGCGGTCACACGTGTATCAGAATCATATCAGAAGAGTTTCATACTCTTTTATTCGCTTTTCTCCCTCTTTCTCTCACTCCATCATGCTCAATCATCCTTATTTAACAGCTGTAAGACCATGGACCCTGTCCGCCTCCCTCACTCCAGTATTATTAGGAGCAGTACTTAGCTATCAATCCCACCATCAGTTCTCTCTCCTCCTAGCACTAGTAACTGTCCTTACAGTGCTCACAGTACATGGGGCTGGTAACCTCGTCAATACATACTTTGATTACATGCAGGGGGTGGATCCACGGGCCGCTGGTACCGAAGACAGGACACTGGTCGACCGGCACCTGGAGCCGACGCAGGTCGTTAATCTAGCCGCCTACTTGTATGGTTGTGGAATGTTGGGTCTATGGGCTTTAATGGTGTTATCTCCGGCTCAAAGTTACCTAATCGCTGGATTGTTCTTCGGTGGTTTATCAGGATCATTCCTATACACGGGAGGCATTGGATTAAAATATTACATATTAGGAGACCTTTTAGTCATCATTACCTTTGGACCACTGGCAGTTCTATTCTCTTACGTCATCCAATGTGGACACTTCTCTCTATCTCCTCTCCTCTTAGCCGTCCCACTAGCTCTCAACACTGAAGCCATCATGCACAGTAAACATACCAGGGACATATCTGCTCATAAAGAGGTTGGACTCGTCTCTTTAGCTGTTATCCTTGGTGAACAAGGCTCCTACTTTCTCTTTGCCCTCCTCCTCTTCTGCCCTTATTTCATATTCTTCTATTGGATGATCCAGTACTCGCTGCCGTTGGGACTTCCTCTTGTTACAATGCCTTATGCATTTAGTTTGGAGAGGGTTTTTCGCGAGAGTAATTGCCGTCACAGTATCTCGCGTCAACTCGCTGGTCTTAATCTCACTCTAGGACTGCTACAAGTGATTGGATGCTGTTTCTCTAATTATGTACCATATTCAGTTCGCTGACTGTTACAATAGTTTTTAAAAGATAGTTTTATTTATTATCATTGTAACATTTACTAATAGATTGTCTGAGTGCATTGATTTAATGCACTGTTGTACAATAGCAAAATTGTATTCCTAAATATGAAATAAATAGAAAAAATATGACTTTTAGGACAAAATTTGAGTCAAATATACAGCCAAAAATAATGAACTACTCATCTATCTAAATAAATAATTAAAAATTTCCCTGGAGTAGCTCTCTACCCAATGATATAGCATATATCTTAATAGTTTCATAGAAAACAACAAAGTCTGTAGTACCAAACACAGTATCGGCCAGAGCAAAAAGCAGAGTAGAAGGTATCACTCCTCGTCCATACTCCACCATTATTGTACCACTGGTCCACTGGACACCGGTCACCTCACCAGGAGCATGGTGTACATAATCACCAATCCCGTACTCCTTTACCACCATACCACCTTCCTTCCATTGTCTCATGGTACCAGAAACCAGTGTATCAGTAATCTCAGCTAAATATCGACCTAAGAAAAGAATAAGTTTTACAATAGGTGTAAGAATGAAGAATTTAAATCACAGTCTTCCTGCAACTAAAAATACTAAAAATTAATACTCAAGCAATTAAAAATTGATGTCTAAATATGATGCCAACCTGAGTGTCCAGATGTGTCAATCCCAGTACCAAAGAACATGACGTACTCTGTCATTGAAGCATGGAGTATGTACATTGCTCCCATCCACCCACCACAATTAACAAATATCCATTTCTGATGCTCCTTAGGCAAGATGTGATCACCATGCTTCTCCCTCAGTCGTTTCTCAATGAGAGAGAGTGTTTCCTTGACAGGCTGACCTGAAATAATTATGATAATTATAACATTAAACATTAACGATGCCAGCCCTGATTATCATGAAATTCATTTTTCTCTTATAAAATCGACCCCAAACACCAGCTATACATGTCTACATATAATCGAGGTTCCGATCTACACATGCCGAGACACATGCTGCCTCTTGGTGTTTATTTAATGACACCTTCTCTTCACTGCTTACCTCTGGTGCTTGCTAGAGCAGCTTTTGTGATGGCTGAAACCTCTTTCTCATCAAAAATGAACTCTTTGCTGTTCAGCCTCAGACGTATCCCGCCATAAAGGATTGCTATTATCAGAGTAAGGAGAGCACTGTACCTCACACATGAACCAAAACTGGAACAAAGTCCACAGCACATTTTGAGGTAGTGCTTTAATGAGCCACACCTCAAAATTAAACTTGACCACGCCTTAAATTAATAATTAAGCTACACCCATTCACACGTGCTCCATTATGCTCAAAATTGTTCATTTTTGTCTCTTTTCTCTTCTCTTCCTCCAGTCTGTTCTCTCTCTTTATGAAGATCAAGTCGGTTCCTTTGATTGGTAAGGACTGGTCGAGTATTTGAGTCTTTATAGCATTCCCTCCCTTAGGCATAGGAGGTTTCTAGGTCACGTGACCTGGTCTTCATTAGAGCAATCAACCGGGGGTAGAAGAAAAGTCTTACTAGGGGGCCCCCAGGGGGTCATCGGAGCTGTTAATGCAGGGCCTGGATCTATTGGTAAACTTTGTTTTTTTTGTATATTTTTTATTAAATTTTCGTAGCCTGGCGACAAGAGTTGGGTGGACCCATTTATGAAATATTACATCATCAGTCTACGCTCATCACTGTGTCAGGTGATAGTCACATGCTACTCAAAGCCTGGCACACTGACACTGGAATATTTAAATGGGAAGTTCCCTTATCCTCTAGAGCCACACCCACAAATCAATGGCCATCCTCTGCTAATTGGAGGCCTAATGGGGTATCAGTGATAGCGTGTGGAGTTAAAAAAGGTATTGAAATATACTTTTAATTTTAATTTACACAATAAATAATACTTACTATAGATCAGATAGCTGTTAGTAGTGGTGGTATACTCTCAGTTCATTCGTTAAGATCTGGCAAGGAACTATGGAATATGCAGCTGGAGTAAGTCCATTGTGTCATTATTGTATCGTGTTTTTAAAATTGTGTTTAGTTCTGATGGTTTGTTGTGTCATATGGAGTCATCTGGTGGTGAGATTGAGCTGGTTTATCTTTTGAACGGAGAACTCAAGTTTGAAAGGATCAGTATGAGCAATAGGGAATCAAAAGTTTATAAGAACGTAAGTACATTTATATTAATATATCATTTATATTAACCCTTTCTTTCCCTCCCTCTCTCTCTCTCCTCAGGTCAATGCTCAATGGTTAACGTTAGATACTCAGTGTACTGTCACTGATGGTGGGCTGGTTGTGTGCTGGTCTTCATCATCAAAACAGTTTTATTTACTGAAAACTGATTCAACATCATTCGAACCACTCAATATGGAGGTAATAATAATAATTAAAGAGAGAAAGACAAAGGAAAACCATTTTCTCATGTACAATGTAGATATGTCTTTTATTAAATCAATTTCTGTATTTTATTTTTAGGATAATTTGTCTTCATTGTTATCAAGTGAAGTATCAATTACTGAAATAACTGGAGAAGATAATTACTTACTAGTTGATGATACACACATTGTGTCTATTGATGATTCATCATTGAAGCTATCATTATATTGTACTGGTTGTAAGATGGGCACTGGCTTTAATGAGAGAGGTGACACTGCTGGCGTGGTGGTGAAGTGGGGCGGGTCTAATGGAGGATTGGTAGTGACTCCATCCATTAATAACGAGAAAGGACAAACTTTTACTGTTCAATCTAGCGTTGAACGAGGAGGTGTGGTCAAGGTAAGATTAATTAGATACTTGTACAATATACCGTTTCTATCTTTTAAATGTTCATATATTCTTTATTTATTTAATTATTTATTTATTTATTTATCTCTTCTTCTCTTCAGATTGATGTATTCATATTATCAAAGTCTGTGACTGATTTGTCCTGGAGAGCAGTTGTATTTAGAGATGACTCTAGCGTTAGTTTCATATCAAGCAATGGTTAGTATCCATTAAACCACACCCACTACTCCACCCACTAATTAGGTGAGCTAGTCTGGTCCAGAGAGGAAGGACTGGCGAGTATCGTTGCCATGGAGATGATGGATCTACCTTCGTCTCAATCTGCTGCCGAGGGATTTCTCTCCCTCCTTGAAGAGGACTCGAACCCGTTCCTTTTAGCTTATAAACGGGTTAACTTCCAGTTGGGACTGGCCCGTCAGTTTATAGAAGATGTTATTAAAAGAGGTGTGGCTTCTATTATTAAACCAGTGAGCAGCGAGGAGCTATTAAGGGATGAATTCAACACTCGTAAAGTGATTGTAGCCATTACCAGTTATAATACAGTAAGAGAGAGAGATACACACTTTCATGTACATGTGTGTCAATAATAATTACTCTACATGTTGTCTATTTAATCTTTAAATTAGGTTATGTATTTATTATTTATTTATTTATTTACTTATTTTATTGATCTTATTTATTTTATTATTTTATTTATTTATAGATTTATGGAATTGATTCCTTAAAAGGTAAAGTTGTCTGGCAGCTGTACCTGCCTAAGCTCCTCCCACTAATTAACGAAGTCTACATCCTTCGTTCATCAGTCCATCCACCTCACCCTCCACTGGCGGCCATTGTAGGCGTGGCTCCTCATTGTACTGGCTCTGTCGTCATTGAGTTTAATCCTATCAGCGGAGAACTGACCAATCAGAATTGTCTACCATACTCTGTAAAGCAAGTAGTGTTACTACCAATGACTGATCCCACCCACCAGCGGAAATTGCTCTTTATCAGTCAAGATGGAGCCAGCCATTGCTATGGCAGTGATTGTGGATTACAGTCTACAACACCTGTGTTTTTGTATACTGCCGATATTAATAGTGGGACACTAGAGGGCGCGGCTATTACAAGGGCGGAGTCTTTACCAATACCAGCATGGAGGACTGTTATTCCAAAAAATGAGAAGATATTAAAAGTTATCAACAATCGTTACGGTACAGCTGTAAATATAGGCTTTTAATTAGGTTTTATTTATACCTTTATTTATTAGGCCACACCCACTCGTTAGGACGGGTTAGGTATGATCGCAGTGTCCAATACAAATACCTTAACCCTCACTTGGTTGCTATGGCAACCCAAACAATCGGCCAATCAAAACGTATGCTCTTAATAATTCATTTGTTTTTATTTTCAATTATTAATTAGCTAATATTAATATTTATTTATTGGATGTCGTCAATGGGGGAGTGGTCCATCATGTGACCCACAAGCAAGCAACGACTCCTGTTAATATTGTATTGTGTGAGAACTGGATTGTGGTGAGACAGCATTTATTGTAATTATCACTAAAAATATTATTCTCTCTCTTTATCCCTTTTCTTTTCTAGTATACTTATTATAACATAAAAGCTTATCGGACCGAACTTGTCGTCACGGAACTTTACGACCCAAGGAATGAAACAGAGTTAGGCCACACCTACTACTCCACCCCTCCTATTGAAAGTATTACTTTATACTTTAGGTCCATTTGGTCTTCACTGACTCCTCCTACACTTCCTCTTGTTACCAGTCAGAGCTACTTGCTTGGAACTGGTATAGTTAGTCTGTCAGTTACAGCAACACAAAGAGGAATAACTCACAGAGATCTGCTTTGTAAGCTTTTGAAACACAGGGATTGGCTCATTTAAAAATGGCCGTAACTTTGAAAAATTAAGTCGGAATCAGCTCAAACTTGCTACATAGCATAAGTACATAAATATGCATCAGAAAATGTAATAAAAATTGGGTGTGATTTTTTGGCCATTTTTCGGAAAAAACCATGGGCTATAGTACAGGGATTTTTTCAGATTTTGGCCCATTTTTTAAAATGGCCGTAACTTGAAAAATTTAAGTCGGAATCAGCTCAAACTTGCTACATAGCATAAGGACATCAATATGTATCAGAAGATGTTATAAAAATTAGGGGTAATTTTTTGGCCATTTTTCGGAAAAAACCATGGGCTATAGTACAGGGATTTTTTCAGAAATTGGCCCGTTTTTTAAAATGGCCGTAACTTGAAAAATTGAAGTCGAAATCACTTCAAACTTTCTACACAACATAAGGACATTAATATGTATCAGAAAATGTAATAAAAATTAGGGGGGATTTTTTAGCCATTTTTTGGAAAAAACTATGGGCTTTTTTCAAGAATTGATTCATTTTTAAATGCTCATAACTCAAAAATTATTTGCCATAACCACTACATTATCCAATTAAAAATTACAATCATTTTAACTTATTTTTTATTAATTTTCCAGTAGGATTATCTTCCGGACACATTGCCTCTCTAGATAAGGAAATATTGGATCCCAGGAGGAATATAACTCCAAACCAAGAAATGATGTGAGTCATGCTAGCACACACTTATACTGTGTTCACACTACCTCTCCAGCTGTACAGAACTGTACCTAATTAGATTAGTTTGGTTATAAAAGAACCATGTTGGTAGCAGTTCACACTGCACAACGTAACTACACCAAATTCACTTTAAAACTTAACTACACCATTTCAGAGCACCTATTTTGGTGCACCACTTTAGCCTGGTTTGGTTTGGTTTCAGTGCAGTTCAGTTATGTTCATACTTGTTATAAAAGTACACTATACTTCCCCAAAACCCAGTTCCAGTACAGTTTTGAAGGGTAGTGTGAACAAGGTATAACTACCCAATGAATCAGATCCTGTTTCTCTCATACTATGACTATGTGTAGTGGCTAAATTTTAACAAAGTAATCTAAATGTCCACGTTCCTTTAGACCAGTAAAGTACATGTAAACCTCATCTTCAGCTACATGTAAGTATGGCAACTGCTATCAATAGTGGTCTGCACACAAAGTGACCATAAAATTGATAAATACACACGTAGATACAATCAGAATATACTCCCTTACTTTTTATAGGGACGAAGGACTGCCCATTTATATTCCACTGATTGATTTCAGTGCAAAGAGACTAATCAATTACAATCAAACTGTGACTAATATCAGAAGCATAGTGACCAGTCCCACGGGATTAGAATCAACGTCACTCGTATTTGCATACGGACTGGGTAAACCACACCCACAGCGTTCCCAACTTAATTTTTTACATTTTTAGATTTATATTTAACTCGCGTGACTCCATCAAAGCAGTTCGATGTCCTAGCGGAAGATTTTGATTACAAGTTAATTGCACTTGTTGTCGGAGGACTCACTCTAGCTACGATTGTCTCCTCTCGACTGTCCGCTAGAAAAATGCTTAGTTTGCTTTGGCAATAAAATAAACTAATTTTTCCGTGTGTAAATTTAATCATTAATCTGTTAGCTTAATTATTGACTGGCTGGCATTTAAAATTAAAAAATAATTTTTTATTTAGCAAAGCACAAAAATAGGAAGTAGAATCACACTAACACTATATAACATCACGTTATAAGAAAGTTGGTACTATAAAATTAGTAGACAACTACCTGTTTTTTTCCATAGTCACAGACGTACAAGAACCCATTTTTATCACACGTCAATCCTCTCGGTGCTTTGAATTGATTGATGCTTCCTTCTCCTCCAAAGCTATTCACAAACATGCCCTCACTCGTGAAGACTGAGACCCTACAGTTTCCCTTCTCGCTGACGTACAGTAGGCCAGTCACTGCAGTGTCTATTGTGATCCCTGATGGGTTCTTTAGCTTCCCCAGACTTGCCGTTCCCTCTCTTCCAAACTTGATTAGGAACTTGCCATCCGGTTTGAACTTTTGGATGCGATGATTATCATAATCTGCAACGTAGACCAGCCCTTTACTGTCAATAGCAATGTCACGTGGAGACTGAAACTGCCCATTAGCTGATCCTTTACTACCAAACAAATGAGAGAAGGTTAGATCAGGATTCAGGACTTGTATTCGATTGTTGCATTGGTCAGCAACATAGATCTTTCCTGATGTGGGAGAAACAGCAATACCGTTAGGAGTATTGAATTGTAGTCGTCCACTACCATACTCACCAACTGATGCTACGTAATCTCCATTCATTCCTATTTTTAGAATCCTGTAGCTATCGCAGACAAGAAGGAAGTTATCTGGTGTGAGTGCTGTATCAGCCGGTGAGATGAACTTGATGTCATCACTGCCTCCTTCTCCAATCGACATCACTTTTCTTCCTTCGCTATCCAGTACAGTCACACGATTGTACTCTGTTGCTATGATCCGGCCATCATCATGTACCGTCACTCTGTAAGGCCAACCAAGATCAGATATGGTTTGTACTGGAGTGATGCTGTCAAGGTAAGGATTGATGGGGACGACTAGCGAAGTGTCCTCAAGTTGGACGTTTTGAACTTGTACATCAACTCTGTAAACACCACTACTTGATTTGCAGTTTATGTGATATGTTCCAAGCTCTTCTCCAGCTCTCATTGTAATTTGAGATGGTTTAAACTTGATCTTACCAACTGGTACTACGCTGCACTCAACAGATGAGAGTTGAGTGAACAAAGGTAATGAATCTGGTGCTTCAACTGCTAATGAAAATGAGATTTCCTTTTCTTTCATGTGATGTTCAAGTTGGTCAATCTTCACTTTGCATTGTTGCAGGGTTTGTGGTGAATAACTGCTCTCAATATTCCAAATATTGTGTAGCGATTCCATTACCTTGCTTTCGATGACAACAAGTCTGAGATCAGCATTTTCTATTGGTTGCAGTTCCTTAACATTAATCTGTGCATTCACCTCGCTCATCCTATCCATCATTTGTTTCTTTGAGCTCAATACCTGCTGGGGAGTACCCGTCTTTAAACTCTGTTCCACGTATTTACAGATGTCATCAAGGAGGCTCAATCTATTTTTGGCTGATTCGATTTGGTTCGATAACACTTGAACTTTAGCTTCGGTGACCCTCTTTGCTTGGCTTCTCAGTTTCTTTTCCGAGTTACGAAGAGCATTGATCATTTCCTCTACCATTTCATGTATTTCCTGTTCAACTTCTTCCCCTTTTTCTTCAATCTTTGCCTTCCTCTCTTCTAAAGTAGACAGTGCTACTTTAAGCATTTCTACTTTTTTCTTTACTGGAATTAAGGATACTTCTATCTTCCCTCGTTGTTTTGGATAGACATCTGTAATGATGTCATATCTGTGGTTTTTGTGTTCACGAACGGCGCAGTTGACGCAAATAATCTCATTGCAAGTTTCGCACCAGATTTCTAATGGCTTGTCATGATCTATACAGAACTTGAATTCGCTTTGAGGATCAGATTGAGGATAAGACACTTCCTGTAGTATGTTGTGTGTGTCCTTGAGATTGTTAATGTGGAATGCTACAGGGAATGCTCCTGCTTCTCCTCCGGGTAGCTCAGTTTTATAACGACAGGTTGGGCAAGAGATGTAATACCCTGCTTTATTTTTTCCTAAGCTGAGAGGCAGTTGTTCCAAGCAGCCCTGACAGAAGGAGTGTAGACAAGGCAGTGTTTTAGGATTGGTGTACATTTCAAGGCAGATAGGGCAGGTGAGCTGCTCCTCCAGTTTCAGTATCCCTGAGGATAATGATTTGGCTGCCATATCAGATATGTTACACAAGATAGGATAACAGTTGGAGGGGGAGTAGGGTGATATGAGCCCTGACTGTGATACTGGATATACTATAGAGCATGTGGTGAGATAATATCCTGCAATATCAACTGTCAAGACATTCCTTACTTGTGGCATGCACCTACATTAGTTGATAGCCAAATAAGGTTATCATGTGATAGAAAATTCATACAAAATCCAATTTTGATTGGAGCCAGCTCAAACTTAAAACACAACACAAGAACATGTATAGATCTATATGTATCAGGAAAAAATTTAAAAATGGAGTCGTTTCAATTTAGACAAAAATTCATACTAGTACATGGAATCTCTACGTCAGACTCTAATTGAATGCTGTGAACAATTTAATGAAATGCTTATCATTCTACTATAATAGTTCATTGTTATTGGTTTGTAGTGTTTTGCTGTTTGATAACCCATTTCTCTTGCAAACTATTCTCTTCACTGTACTCCAGTTAATGACATAGAACAATGGACCTGCATAGAGGAAGAGATTTGAATGAAACCATTAAATTTTAATAAAACTTACCCAATGGGATAATACTGTCTAAAATGGTAATGAAATTTGGTAAACCCACTAATTTAGTAATAAAGGCACAATTTCCTTCGCTACCTCTAGCTTCACATTCAAAATATTCAAAAATAGAATTTATTATATTGTCCTGTCGTATGAAAAAAACTCCCAAACCAATAAACTTAATGAGGCTGCGAAAAATGTTTAGCAACAGAATAAAGAGAAGTTTCCTTTCAGCTGTTGTAAAGTGAAAAGTACTTTTAACCTGATGTCCATGGACTTCTTTTTCAGCTTGAAATAGTCCAGAGTTATGCTAAATCGAAAATTGAAATGACAGTTAAATTATAATTAACTAAAGACTCCATTGATCTACTTGCTTTGTGTATAATCCTTATAACTGAAATCACTATTAAACTGTACATGCTGGTCAGCACTATTGGAGGAAATATGGTAGTATATAACATGATATCAGTTTCTCTTGCAAAGCAGACAGTCCCTGGATAGTTAGCAATAACATAGGAAGGTGAGTTGGCAAATATAGTTATCACAATACCAATAACAGGAAACAATAATCCTACCAAATAAAAACAGTGAAAGTAATCTGTTATGCTATTATGTCTATACCTAATAGTACTAGTATGATATGGATGTAGCCACACTTTCCTGTTATCAGCAGTGATCTTGAATACAGTGGATGTAGCAGCTTAAAGAGAGTAGCAGCAGCCCAGGAAAACCACCAAAAAGAGGCTGATACAGTCATGTACTGATATGTGACACCTTAACATAGATTGCAGATTAAAGATTAATATTAATTTATTTTACCTGAAATTGTACAGAAAATTGACGGATTGTCAACAGAAAAGAACAAGTCATCATTGGAATTGCAGTGTAGTACATTAGCAAGTGAAGAAATGAATACCATTACAGCTAAAATACCGTATAGCGGAAAATTTTTGTGGTCCAAAATTTTCGTGGATCCGTCCAAAAATCAATTTCGTGGCTTTAATTTTCGTGGTTTTCTACAATTCAGCCATCTTAAACCGTATAAAATCAATTTTCGCGGATTTTATTTCGTGGATTTTGAAAAAAACACGAAATCTGCGAAAATTTTGGGCCTCGAAAATTTTCCGCTATACGGTATAACACAAAATTATGACGATTTCTATCAGTAATGATGTAGATTTAGGTTACCTATAACGAAGTATGCAACAGTGACATAAATCACAAATACCGTTGGAAACTGGAATCTATAAATGAACACTCAATATAGTGAATAAGTTCAATAGTAAAGTTACATTATTTTATAACGGAATCCAGCGACAATGAAAGTCATTGTACAGATAATAAGAGCAAATCCAGATGAGAGCCCTGATAGAAGTAATGCAGCATTTCTGCTCATGTTCCAACTCCATTGGCTACAGATTGGACGACAATACCCGTGCTCTGTACTGAAATAGAAATCTTCACTGCAGTTGAAGGACTCATTAGCTCCAGCTACAGTAAAATTGACTGTATTTGTGATGTCAGTGAAAGTAATATCACTATGCTTAGTTGTTCCTATATAGTATAATGAAAACTTCATTAAAACACTATAGATACAACATATATATACACTATCTCTTTTACCTTCAAGAGCAGTAGGTACAATCAGTATAGCCAGTATAATGAGGACTATAACCACCAATAGCACTCTTTCAAAAATGAAACAAAAATAGGTACACCAGGATGAGAGCTTTTTCATTTTATTCTTCCTTGCCAGCTTATAGTAGCCTCCAGCCTAGATCTGCACTGTGTACAGCCAGCTATAGCCCTCCCACAAAGTGGGTGGATGATAGCATGATGATAGTATAGTATGCAGCATACTTCAATTACTACTAGAAGAGCAACATGACTGCCAATGTAATAATTAATAACTTTAAGGCCACCATACACTAGGCAACATGTTGCTAGCAACATGTTGCCTAGTGTATGAAGTCTAGTTGTACATATGTGTATTTTGAGTTCTAGTATGTTTATGCTTATACATATATAATTCATTTTTGCATTCAAAATTAAATAGCAATTAGATAATAGTCTATTTTTGTAACATGATAACATCAACATGTCAATGACTTTGACCTTATTTTAGAATAACTTCAAAAAATTATTAAGTACATGCAACTCTTCTGCTTGATGATAATTGAATAATTCAATCAACTAATGCAGTTATGTTGGAGCATGCTACAATTAAATTATCTTTTCATTTTATTGTCATTAACAAAACTGTTCAGGTCATATTTCAATGATGCTATACAGCATACATTCAATCACTACAAGAGTAACATGACTGCTAGCAACTTAATATTGCAATATTTGAACAGTATAATAATATATTTGAGTTCTATGTATCACTGATTTGATTTATCATGACAAATGAATTCCTTGGTAGCACTCCAATTAATGACATAGATTAATGGACCTACATGTATAGTTATAAAAGAAATGTAATAGGAAACAAAGTAATTGGACTAACCCAATGGGAGAACACCAGCAGCTACTACAAGCACAATCCTCAGACCAAGAAAAAAGCTGATATTTTGAACTAAATTACATTCCTCTCCACTACCAAAGGTTTCACATATAAAGTATTCCTTGAAGAATTTATTCACTACTTTCTCAGTAAGTGTACTACGGAGTGCTATGATGATGAATAAGCAGATCTCAAAGAACATGTTGAGAATTAGAATGAAAAGGAGCTTCTTTTCAGCTGGAGTGAGACGGAATTGCTCACTTTGAGACTTCCTCTGTAACAAATGAATGAATAAAGCATGTGCATACAGCATGTATATACCTGCATTGCTTTATGAATTTTTCTCATTGTTACAATGATCATTGCACTGTATATACTAGTAAGGGCTATGTTTGGCACTATTGCTGTGAAGAAAGCAATTCTGGAGTCACGACTCAGACAAGCAGTTGGAGGAATATCATCAAAATTATATGGAGGAGAGGGGACAGTCAGTGATGTAACTAAGATGCTGATAAGAGGGATGATTAGTCCTAAAAATAACACATTAAAGTATTATAGACAGCTTTGAACAGCATAACCTATTGACACTAGGGCAATGTGTATGTACCGATACACTCCTTTTATGTGCAGTGATCTTGAACGTAAAGGAAATATCAGATCAAAGAATGTGACCATTGCCCAAGCAAACCACCAATGCGTGGATAATAAGATAGTGTAATGATGTACAATACCTATGTAATATACAAAGAGTTAATATATTCTCTTTATGATAGCTTTGTTCAATATTTACCAGATATAGTACAAAAAGTTGTTGATTCATTAAGAGTAGAGAAAAGGTCGTCTTCAGAATTGCAGAATAACTGCTCATTGGCAAGAGATGAAATGTAAAATATGATATCTGAATTAAATAATAACTCAAGTAAATCTGTATAATTAATGACTATACCTCCAAAGCAGTATGTAATGGCAGCATAGAGAACAAATACAGTTGGGAACTTGCATCTATTAAATATGACAAAAATTAGTTATAACATCTTGCATATGATAGATATTACATTATTTTGTAACGAAATCCAGCAATGATGAAAGTTATAGAGGAAATGATTAGATCAAACCCAGCTACCAATCCTGAGAGCAGTAACAAAGCATTTTTATTACTATAATGACTCCATTGACTACAAATGGGATAACAGACTCCAAATTCAGCATTGTAGTAAAAGTCTTCACTGCAGTTTAAAGCACTGGTGTTTGGTCCAGTGTTTATCAAATTAGTTCTTTCACTATGTCTCTATTATAGATATTGGTGAATGCAATATGGTTGTCTTTTTGTCTTACCTCTGTGAAGTAGAGTATAATGGGAACTATTAGTATACCAACACTTCCTAGTAGTAACAGAACTAGGATCACTGGTATGATGGATCTCACAGCAACAAGGGCAGTCTTGCTTTTTTCAATCATTGGAGGCAGTAAGTGAGGATCAAGGCCAATTAACACTGTTACATACCAAACTATCTACATTGTATGTGTGGGTGTATGTTTTATTAATGGATGATAGCATAGTATATGCAGCATACTTCAATTACTACTAGAAGAGCAACATGACTGCCAATGTAATAATTAATAACTTTAGAATGCAATCTTTGAAGTCTAGTACATATTTGAGTTCTATGTTTATGTTTATACATAATTTATTTTTCATTCAAAATTAAATAGCAATTAGATAATACTCTATTTCTGT